TGTAATTTTTTGGAAGGTTTTTCCCCATATATGAGATGACAAAGCAAAGGCAGCACAATGAGATCAGTAAAAAAAAAGACACTCCCATTGCTCTGGGGCTATATTTGCAACTGAGTATAATTTTGTCATCATACCAAGATGAATGACTGTAAGGTTTGGGTGGGGCAGTGGAATAGCTAATGGTCAGTGAGACCGCCTGGATGAGGAAAGCCACAGCGATCAGCAGCCACTGGCCCTGATATTTTATCCACAGATTGTGGAGCTTGGGGAACTTGGCAGATATTTTGAAGATGTAGAAAATTTGAAAAGCACGCACAACGAAGCACGCTATACTAACAGTAAAGAACAAAACAAAAGGTAAAAACCTTAGTACACAAGAGGCAGCTGTGGGCTTGTCAAAGTAAAAGAACACACTGATATTAGACAGAAAGAGGCAGCCCAGAATTAAGAAGCACATGGGTCCTCCGGCCGACTTGACAACAGGCGTGTTGTAGTGGACGGTGAAGAGAACAGACACGGCCAGAATGAGGCCCACCAAGACGCAGGCTCCAGCCAGGATGACCATTGCTCCAGGGTCTGAGAATGGGACGTACTCCACCAGCCGCAGGCTGCACGACCTGCTTCCCTCTGCCGCCCACTCTGAGTCCTGACAGGGGATGCATCTGTAGGGGTCCTCTGTTTTTCACAGTGGAAGACACAGTAAAAAAAAAAGGTTAGTTCATTGAGTCATCAAATTGTACTTATGCTTAATATTTTAACCCGCACAACGTTCACTCTTCTTGTAGTTTGCATCTGAAAGCAGATCAATTGTTCAAGCTTCACAATGTTTCCATGTTTAGGAAGACTCAAAAAAGCAATGAAAGAATGTAACATGCTTGGTTTCCTTATGTTCCACATTTAACCAAATGCTCCCCTCTGTCCTGGCCCTCAATAAGGAATAAAGGCATATATCCCCTTACATTTTACTGTAAAGAAAACTGCATTTCCAGAGTGTCTTCTGCCAAAATGCTAAGTAGACACATGCTCCTTTACATCCCTTTAGTTTCTTCTTCATACTTAAAAGTTGCATATTAGCCTTTCTTCTAAACAATGTTTGCTTATCTCAACTATTTCTCAGCATTAAAGCAAAACCCTCATCACTGTCTTTACACATCCCCCCCACATATGTGCAACCAGTCACCTGTGCTGTTGATGTAAGTTCCTTTTGGACAGATTGTGCAATTGAAGCAGCATTTGTGGACTCCTTCCTGTTGTTTTGAGTATCCTGCAGAACATTCTCTGGAACAAATAGAAGCAGGCACCTGTACAAGATGTGTATTAAGCAAAAACAAATATATGAAAAGGCTGAAGAAATTATTACATTCAACTTTTTTCATTTATGACTGTAATATATGTGTAATAAATCTGTGCTTAACATCCACTCTTAGCCGATATTCCTAATATTGTGGTTTGTTGCAGCCTTAACTAAACATATTCATAGCACGCCTGTGATGTCACTGAAAAGGAAAAATGATCAACTTTGTAAGAATTTCAAGCAAAGAATAGACAAACAAACACATAGCGCTTACTGTGCCATCTCCATGCCACTGAATTTTCTTGTCAATGACGAACCGGAAGGGTGGGAAAAAATCATAAGACCCAACCTTCTCTGGATCACCGTTGTGGTTCCAAAAAATGATTGAATACGATCCAAATTTGGGGTCTCCACTCTCATCAAACTGAACAGTGTTGTTTAAAAGTGTGAAGTTTGATCTTCTCAGCTCTCTTAAGACCTGTTGTTGGCACACAAGGTTCAGGTGACATGATGGATTTATGTCTTAAATATGCAGTACAGATATTGGATAACCGTGATCTAACTCACAGGCTTACACAAACTCCAAATGTTGTGGTCTACCAAATAACACAAAGTGTTACTACACAGTGTGCTAATAACGGCTGTTTGAGCAACATGAAGATGATGGGAGATACAATGACTCCATAAAGAGGATTTTCCTTCAATTCATGTTTGATCTCAAAGTAGCTTTTCAATTGGCCAGAATTTTACTCTAAAAGTCAGTCAAAAAGACATAGTTCCATTTCGATTTTACACAAAACACCCTAATTATGGAACAATAACACTCGATAATTAGTTTTAGTCTTCACTGAGACCTGAATATATTCAACTTCACCAACCACCTGAATATCTGAACAAACAAAATAAACAAAAATGTTCAGGTAACGTTCACATTAAGTATGAAGAATCAGACTGTGTAAATGGATTATAGGAGTTGTGTGATAGTCTGTAGACTTACCATGTGTGGGTAGACTGCGATGTGGTTGTTACACTTGCCAGCTCCGCATTGTAAGACGGCGTGTAAGGCATGGGCGATGGCATATACGGCAGAATACACAGGGAAGGAGAAGGACGGGTCTGCTGTGATGATATCTGCAGCAGTGACAGCGCTGCAGTTGCAAATCTGATTACAGAACGTCTCCTGTTCTGCATGTTCACAGTCAGCGTTGGCTTTGGAAGAATAGATAAAATCACTAAAACCTGGGATTGTCATTTTTGGCTCAGCGACCCCAAGTACCGTTCCAATATTTCTGATACCTTCTTCTTTGGGGAGCTTTTTATGTAAGGACCAGGCATCCCCTGCAATCCACACCTTGTTGGTGACGCTTTGTCTAATGGCTGAATGAATGAGAGCCTCTGCAGTCCACTCGGGGGCAAAAACAATAATGACGTTTACTTTGAGCAGCTTTATCTGTCGGAACATTCTGAAGTAGTTTGTATCTGTATCAAGACCTTTGGTGTAGGCCAGGCAAATGTCAGTGTCCTCAATCTTCTTAATGAACTTGTCCTGGGCATCGTTTCCGTAATCATCGTCAATATAGAGGAAAGCAACCCAGCGCCAGTTGAAGTGTTGCAGAATCTTGAAAACCAGTTCTATGACGTTATTGTTGGGAATCACTGTTCGTAAGAAGGAGGGGAAATCCTGTTTCCTGGAGAAAACAGAGCTGGCGGCTCCATAACTGACCTGTGAAAAAGATGGGTAAATGGACATTATGTTACTGAAACAGTTATTGTTTATTAACTATATACAAATATATATATTTATATATATATACTGTATACATATATGTGTGTGTGTGTGTACATGTCTGCATCTGTATGTAAAAAAAACACAAATCTAATGAACTTGAACTTAAAAAATAGAAGCAAATTTGAAATTCTGTGTCAGTAACGCCTGCGTGATAGAAGCCTGTTTATCATTGTATTGTGTCATTGTGTCTTATCGGTGATCTAGAGAACACAAATTGTTGCAGCTTAAATTAGAATTTGTGTCCATTCTCTCTGAATAGAAGATTTTATTTTCTCAGCAGTTCTTTGCTGATGCGGTCAGATTTCTTTTCCCCCCTCATCATGTCTCACCCCCGGTTGGAGGCAGACCTGGGCTGCAGGTAAGCCTGTCCATCACACTGCGTCTATCAGGGTGTTGCACTTAAATTCTTTACCTTCTTTATATCAAATGCATCAGAACAACGGCCCAAATCCCTTTTTCTCATGGTGACCTATCCTTGCTTGGAAAGACTTAACCTTGGTATGATACCCTTTCAAACTCTTTCCTCCTGCCCCTACTTCCCAATGGTAGAACATTTGAGAATACTTTGACATTCTACAAGTATTCATTTCTCTTTTTTCCAACAGTTCTTGTGTTTTTTTTTTGTTTGTTTCTGGCATCAACATTGCATTTTGTTCATATTTTTTATAAAGGCACTGAAAAGATATCCCAAACATTTTTGGAAAGGTCTTATTGTTCTTAACAAAGAGCACAATTTCACATGTTAACATATTGTGAAACCAAAGTTGAGGCCTGCAGGAGGACTTACCATGGGGATGAGACCCGGCATGAAGAGCGGGGCAACAGCCAGTGTCGCGGTGCTTGTGTAGATGCCAACCACTGCTATGACTTTTGACACACCGAGTGATTCCTCTCTGGGTTGGATGGTGCCATTAACTGACATCAGGTGGAAAATACCTGGTAAGTTATGTGTGTCTGAGCAGTGGTCAAATGTGTCATAGCCGAGGGACACGTTTGGCAGAAGGCTGGTAGAATTGTTGATTTCCTCAACGGCAAATCTCATCAACTGAAACCGTCGGTAACTTGAGAGAATTAGTTTCTGACTGTAGATGGAAGAAGCAGAATAATAGGACAGTTATTTGAAAACCTTCTGGTTTTGTGTTTTGAAGGACCACCAGGACTGTGTAGGTTATCAAAACCTCAGAAGGGAATGAGTTAGCTAGAAATAGAATGATATAGAAAACATACCTGGAGCAGGTGGTGATTTCTGGTCTGTCAGATTTGGAAACGTTAATGACCCGGTGAATGTCAAAAAGTCCACCAATCACATAATCCCCCTTCTTCACAAACTCCGAGGCTGGCTCAGAGCATCCAGCCACGGCGTGCTGAAGACATCCCATCAGACACAGGCCAGCAACGACCCATTTCCCAGCCATATTTTGGGATCGCCGCTCTCAAGAGCTGCCTCGGAGTTTTGGATGATCAAGCTCCCGTTTTCGTTTCATATTTTCAGGAACTTTGAACAAGCGAGGTGTTACAAACACTTTACTGTGTTAGATGGCTGAATTTACAAATCAGCATGCAAAATGAGTTTTTATCTGATGCTCAAGCTGCACGCAGTTTGTAAGAACTCATTTGATTAAAAATACCCGTTGCATCCGTTTTATTAGGTAGGCAGAAAAAGAGGAACATTCTTTTCATCCACCAGAAGTGATCTTAATAGCTTTTATAGGAACTAGATTTTTTGTTACTTGTAATGCCTCCTCAGTTTTAAACTACTTGCCTAGGAGTTTCAGAACCGAAGCGGTTCAGATAGGAGATGAACTAGAACACAATCAAAGGCCAGCTGCACTTCTTCCCCCTCTTAGGATAACCATGTTACACATGAAATCGGCCAGCAATTAAAACCATTGGAGATTAGTAAATCATGAGCCCACGTGATTCAAAAAACATTTTATTTGTCGTTTTTAGGGTGTTCTATAGTTCTTCTCTACGAATACTAACAAAATATGAGACCAAGACATGTACCGTTTGAAGGGACACAGCCTCTTTAATAGCATTTGGAGTGAAAAAAAAAATTACACTTAAGTTGTTAAAATCAAGTTCTTGTTTTCAACGGTAGCACAAGAAAAAAACATGCAATCCATGAAAAAAAAAAAGTTCTAGAATCCAATTTAGCAGTTCAGTTTTCATCAATTTTTAAATGGTGGATTTTAACACTTGAAAACAGTATGGTGGTTGGATGGAAAAAAAAAAACTAATAAAAATTATCTAAAAAAATTATACTTTAAAATATATATATATACTGAATATACATAAATCCAGACAACCCTTTTAAACACAAACTTTTTACAGGAAAATGTTTTGATCCCTTACTACAGTGTCGATCAAAGGTGAATAATGACAGATTCCCAGCATTGTGATAGGAGAAGAAAATCAAAAGGTTCATAGAAAAGAATGTGTGATCACCACCCACTTCATCCATTTGTTATAATAAAAGCTCTCAAGCTCAGATTTCCTATGTTTCCTCTGCAAAAGAAAGAGAAACAACAGTTTGTTTGGAATGATTATATTTGCCTTTTAGAAATTTCAACATAAACACAGATTTTAAAAGGACAACAACATCTTCTCTAAACAAACCAAAGTAACCTCTGTCTCTGAGACGCAGATGGGAAAGGTTCTGGAGATAAAATGTCCGGGGTGTCGCCGCGTTTGCCTGATTGTTATGTCAGACTGACCGTGGCCCGAATTAATCTTAAATACTGTGCATACCTTGGAGACAAAATATCTTTAGAGAGAAAAAAAAAATCCAGATAAAATAAATTTAAATTTTGGAGCAGAATGAATTCAAAACTATGATGCTGCAAAATGTACCGCTGTTTGATAGATGACAGCATTAAATAACTTTTAAATTATGTGTTCAATGATGGGTGGTCATAAGAAATAATCCATTTTAAGTTAAGCAGACAATGAAAGTAATCATTTGCAGCCAATTAAATACAAAGCAAAAATAAATTGTGCCTAATTCTGGTGTTTTTCTAACCATCAGGAACACATATTTAGATGAAATGTCAATTTCTCTTCAATGTCTTTATTTATTTAGCAACTGCCTGATGACACCTGTTAGTCAGAGCTGCACATCTTTAATCACAAAAAATTAAATGGTTCAATGTGAGGACTTTCATTAGGTTTTACCTTACATCTAATCACATTTTAAACTTAACAGAATTTTAATAAACTCTCACAAATAAGTAAGAACAAAATATCAATCAAAACTTGGCAGATGGCGAGAGCCCTGGGATTACAATCAATGAGAGAACATGAAATAAGAAAATTTACTGCAATTCTTTTCACTTCGGCTCCTTCTTGATGACTATTCACTCCACTAACGGGCTTAAAAAGGCAGAAGGCAGCACTGAGTGTCATGTGCTACTTCATTAATGCTGACCAGTCTTCACCAAAATAAAATAAAAAAGATAAACCCAAAACAAATGAAAAAAAAAAATCATTGGCAAGGCAGTTTTTCCACACTATTTTGATCCACGCTGCTCGTTTCTGCATCCAACACTGTGAAGCAGAGACCAAAACCTGGATTTTTTATTTTGTTTTAAATGAACTGTCCCGCTCATAAAAAAGAAAGATAAACCAAATCCTCACCAATCCCCATTAACTGTGACCAATACATTTCAATAGAGACAGAGATGAAGGGTAAGTTGGAGTTTTTAACTAGCAAAAGTTTTCCCTGTGTCTTCCTTGCCTTTATATGTCCTCTTCCCATGTGTGAAGGGTAGGTATCTGTACTTGATCATATGCTGCAATAGATGGGAGAGAAAAAAGAGAAATAGTAACATGGATTGGTAAAATGCTCCTTCAAAGACAAATGAATGAATGTTCAAAGTTTAATTTTAGCAAATATTAGCTGAAGGTTTAAATCATCTATTGTTCCTGCTTAAATGACTGTAAACGGTGCTGTTATAGTTTACTGATGTGCACAGATGTGGCATGAGCAGCACATTTTCAGTAACCCACGGAAACTTCTGACGAGTGTTTTACCTTAATCTGCCTCTTCATGGTGATGCAAAAGAGCATGATGAAGTACATTACAAGTATAGGCCAAAACACTGGCACATTGAAGGCATCAAAAAATGTGCAAATCATGGCGATGACGATGCCTTTTGTCGCCGAGTGCCTATTGAGGAAAAAAAAAAGCATCAGTTCGACCACATCGGAGACACTGAGGAAGCACTGGTCACCGAGCATCCTGAGCTTACAGTAGCTACTTCTGATATAACGGGTTTATTCAGCAGCTACAACCCCAAATGCTCCAAAAACCCAAATAATCTTCTACAGTTTCAGAAGAACAAAGCACTCATAGGAAAAGGAATTTGAAAAAATCATATTCTGAGCATCTTGGACCATTTGCTTCAACGGATGCATAAAGTATTTGTCAATATCATCAGAGGAATTACTCAAAACTGAAACTCTGATGTCACCAGTTAGACTCCAACCTACGATGGCTGCATTGTGACACGCGTTAGATCTCTCATAAATATGCTTCAGTGACGAACTGGGGGGTCAAATTAGAGTCAAAACAAAGAAAAGTCTTATAATAATGGTGCATATAATAAAGTAATTAAGACATCCAAAAGGGAATTTTATAATGATAGTGTGTTTCTTTTTTTAGATGTCTTTAACTGTAGCCTGAATACAGACACGGTATATGACTATTTATCCGAGTAGGGTGAGCAGAAATTTTGACAGCCCAGTTTTAAAAAAGCATTAACAGAAGCCTATGAAAACACTTCAGTGAAACCTCTTAATTGTCAACAGGCCCTGCCAGAGAAAGAGAGACAAACAGGGAGCAGATGAAGAAGCAGAATTAAGCACATACACAGAAATATCACAGTCTACTAAAACCTTTAATCTCAATTTTTATTTTTAAGGGAAAGTTCAAAGTAGTTATATTTTAAATCTAACAAAAGACATCTGTGCGACTGACTGGATGTTTATTTAATTTCTGCTTTCGTAGACAACTTGCCACAGAATTTGCGTGACCGCATGACAGGTAAGAGCTTTCATAAACATCAACAATACTACAAGGCTCCTGTAGCCTTTATGTAAAACAGCAGAAAGGTTTGTCCATGTATGCTCTTACCTAACGGCTCAAGATAACGAGCATTCAGGGATGTTCAGACATCAAGAAACAAATCTATCAAAACGTCTAATAGATTTAAGAAAAGCGTTACACTTTGAATTCACCTCATTTTAAATATAGTAAAACACAGAACAAATCCACTTTCATGGGTCTCTGGTTTATGCTAAAACAAAAAAGCTCCTCTTTCAAATGAGCATAGCCACACAGGTAATCCAAAAGAAAATAATTTGCAACCTCTCTGCAGTGGACAGCGACAGATGGCGAGAACACGAGTTGAAGTCTTACCAGAATTTGAATTCAGGCAACCTCCTGATGAATGGGCGGAACTCCTCGTTCTGCTTGGTAGGAAGGGATGGGCCCTCATCTACATGAAAAATAGGTTAGAGAGTGACTTAGAGAGGTTTCTGCAAATGCAGGGTTTGAATAAAAAGGACAAAAATTCAGTAGCACAGATGTGTACTTTGACCTAACTGCAACTGATCAAAATCCTAAATAAACAAGTGTCAAACGGGATCCCTTTCATCAGGTCTACCACACAGAAAATACTTCACAAACTATGGGTCAACTTGCCTTCGTCAAGCAGAGAGGGATCCACTTTTGGAGATAGAAATGCAATGAAGAGATTGAGATGGTAGATTCCCAAAGCGTATGTTACTATATACCATCCCTGAAGTGGAGAAAATGAAAATCACCACGTTAGAAAATAGCAGAAAACCAAAGAAATCCATTTACATGTTAAAAACTGCACATAGCCTTTAACATAAATCTGGCTGTAGTTTAACTTGTGTTCAATGCATTACAAACTACAACAGATCTACAAACAAACAGGAGCATTTGCTTTGTTAAAGTAAAACAAATTTTGAAAACAATAGTATTAAAAAATATATATTTAAATCAATCTTTAATTGGGGATAAGAATATCAGAAACCAAAGTAATTTCAAACTGGCAAAAAACTAATAATAATTTAACAATGAGTAATCGTGAAAAAAAATAGTCAAAAATTGAGTAAACGGGCTGTTTATTCTAAAAGTCTGATGGGTGTGTGACATACATACAAATTGCTCAAATTTGCTTTCATTTTCTGAGGAGTAAGCCATGGAGTGATGAATTACCTGTAGTATGTACACTCTGATCATGTAGACAGCTGTAAGTAGTAGAGTGGATGCCCATCGCACCGCATAGAATGGTGTCGACTTGTCAAGCCATGTCTGATATACCTGTTACAATCATAAAGACAAGAAACCGTGCCACGAGAGCGGAGAGAAAGGCCGCAGACACAACTTTAGATGATTCCCTGCATTGACCAAAATTGTGTGAAAGCATTAACCAACTGATTGTAGGTGACAAACCCTTTAACAATGTTTTATGTTATTAAGAAATAATACTGATTTGTGGAATCTGAGAGATAGACACATTACCTGTCCAATCCTTGTGAAAAAGGCAGCAATTACAGATGGTTTTCCGTGGATTGACTCCCCAACACTGTCCCCTTCTGACATTCTAACAATGTAAATGAAAGAAACAAATCAAGTTAATGGTGTTGGGAATTTGAGCCACAAAGGAAAAGGAGCATACTTAACATGATGTGGACTGTTTTTATCTAATATGTGGATGTGTCCTGCTTAAAAACGCTACAAAATATCTTATGCTGATTTACACCTACGTGTACAATAGTTGTGTGTATGCATTAGTAATTGGTTCCTATTGTCAACTCTATTTTAGAGTTACTCAAGAAACCTGGATGGGAAGATCAGAGTCATTTTCATATATTTAAACCTCATCAGTAGGAAAGATGATATGTGACTAACTACACAATTCCACATCCTACAACTAATCTATAAATATCTTGTAATCAATGACAGTATGGATGGTAAGAAAATACAATTAGGAGTTCATTGTCAAATGTATCTGGTTATTCTCTAAATCATGGTTTTGGTTGGCATCGATAGCCTCACAGATGACAATGCCTGATGCTGCTTGGGGTCATGTTTTTGATTGTTTACCTAGCGTGACCTGCTGTCAGAGCAATCATATTACATTCTTGCATTATACCAGTGAATCTTTGTCAAAGAGGAATGGTATCGAGTAAGACTGTTCCTGGTTTTGGCTAGCTAGCATGAGCTGAATTCGTAGCCAACAAGCTTGGGGTTGTCGTGTTAAAGGATGCATATTTTTCAAAATACTTAACTGGAACACTTTAACACGATTTTCAAACAATGAGCAGAACCATTACCATTTGATTTAACATTGATTTTGATTTATTTGCGTTAGCTTCCAAATTAGCCCCCGAAATGGCTAACTAGCCATGTTCGTTACCCTTTGGCCCAAATTACCATTCACATGGGCATTGTAGTTCTCATGAGGCTTCAGTTAACCCACTGAGGGCCCATATGTGAATTTAGGTTACTGCATTTCCCATAATTAAAGTGTAACAACGTGTAATGAAGTCTAAGGAAAAATGTAGTTCCTGGCGGTCTTTTTTCCCGTTAATGGCTTTGTTATATGAATATTTTTTAACTACAAATACCAGCAATAACTTTGAAAATCGGACACCTCACTTCCGGTGATATGGTACTCAGTTGCCAACAGCTTCTTGGCTAGCTAGTTAGCACGGTTAGAAATTGAAGTGTACCCTAGAAAACACGTTTGACTTCACCGTAATGGGCAAATTCATACGTTTGGTTAGTCAACACATCACATTTCAGCGTCTCTCAATTTTGCTAGCCGTTGCGGCGTAAATTAACAATGACAGTTCTTTCTTACCTGAGACGGCCGCTGTGTCACTACCCGGCTCTACCTAGCTAGCTACACTAGCCACTCGACGTGCAAACTGGAGTGACCACGTCATTACTTCCGCAAGGACCAGAACACACTGCAGGAAGGTTAGTCGAGCCCCGAAAGAGATGCGGCACTAAAACACTATTGCATTTTTGTTATTTACAGTATTGTAATTTAAAGGTAATATGTGACTACTGCAATAAGTATTCCGGCCCCTGCCTAAAATATATATATATTTTTTATTTAGTTTATGTTTGGTATTTCAAATAAAAAACAAAACAAATCAAAAGTCGAAACTTATTTTTTATTATCTGTAAAGAGAGGGATTTAGGAAGAAAAATATCTTAAACAATGTACGCAACAACCTCAAATTACACTGATGAACAACATCACACAGTTACATATCATACAGCTCTTACCATGACTTAAAATAAAAAAACAAAACACAAATAACAAAATCGTACTAAGAATATTGAAACAAAACAAGTTTTATTTACATTGTAGAAATGCATAATACTGATAATCGTAATTTAGATAACCTTTAAAGCATTAAAGTGCTTGTTCTCTGCCGATTGTTGGTAATTGCTTGGCAGGAGAGGTTTTCTTTAGAAGAGATGACCTTAGAAAATTTTCTGAAAATCAGGTAAATTCAATCTCTACAAACAAATTTGACATCAAGCATGGACATTTGATCTTGCAGGTTGGCAATCTACTTATAAAGCTGGAATGTTATCATTAAATATATGCTACAAGTGCCACAAAGGAGGGTAAACAATTAGCTATGATTAACACGTGAAGACCTTGCCCTGCAAGGTTTTTTTTAAGAATATACAACAAAGGACAACAATTATCTGTCCCATTGTCTTTAAAAAACAGGGATGACATTCTTGAGTTTGTTTTGTTTTAAGCTAATGAAGTAATTGCTATAACAATATAATACTGATTTAGATGTTTTTGCCTTTCAGCTGTTTTTCCACTGTGTTCATTAAATAACACCATATTTTCTACAATTTGGAAAAATGGAAGCAATATCCACAATTTCATAACACGCGTTGACACACCATTCTTGCCAAGGCCATTAAACAAAACGTATGATTGAAATAATAAGAACATACTGAACTACGGGTTTTCACATGATCATTGTTATTTGTATGACTTTGTTTTTGTAGCTATGAGTTTGAGTTACTATTTGATTCTATACATTTGGTTTAAACAAGAAAACATTTAGGACTAAATACTCATTTTCAACCACATCTATTTCAAAACATTTACAAAATACAGTATATACATTTGTACATAAGTTGAAAACTGAAATAAAATAAATAGTTCAGCTGGAAAATTAAAAAAAAATTAATAGAGGTGATTCTAACAATAGCATTACAGTTTCATGTCTAATTTGATGAACACACCATTATTATTTAAATGATTCCTGTTGAAAATGTGCACATCATTGCACAGTGACACTAGACGTAATGTCTCTGCATCTATCAGGATTTACAGAACATAATCATGTTATGAGCTTTGCCTTGACAGTGCCATTATCAGTGTCTTTTTTCCTAAATACACTTGACTTGAGACATAACTTTAGCTTTGTGTTCATCACTCTATGCTGTAAATGAAACTGTATTAGCACAAATTAAGCCTGCACAGCAAAGCAACTTTCCACACAGAAAACATCAGGCATTTAAGACGGAAATTGATTTTTTTTGGGTGAGTCATGGAACTCAAATATGACAGTGACAGTGAGACCGAAAGATTATCCATGGGGGATGCCATCAGAAAATGATGACACTGACATAAATAAAACAGTCATTGTTCTTTGCTCTCAGTGAACATCACTTTCCATGAATTCCTCCTTGATGGAGTGCTTGCTACGGGACACTCTGCAGTCAGGCATGTCGAAACCAAAGTCAGCCCACTCGTCGGCGGCTGCAGCCATTCCTGACGGCCCAACGACCCCGGGCCTGTTGGGGATGGTGATGGTGTGGCGAACCCGAAAATGCACGGCCTCCATGACGCGCTGGCGCTGCAGTTCCCCGCCCGCAGCGCCGATAGCTGCCATTGCCGTGGCCGCCATGTTGCTGCTGGAACGGAGCAGCTGCTGGCCGTGATAGTCGTGGTGATGGGCAGAGGTGGGAAGCTGGAGGGGAGCGCCTTGCTTCATGTCCTGCAGACCACGCCATATTACATGGCGGGACTGCTCCGGAATCTTCAGGGCTCCTAAATCCTGGTGAGGCCACACAGACATTGAATGAGTGTGACAATGTGACAGAAAATAAGGAGAAATGAGCAGAGAGCAAGAGCAACCTCTTGTGTTAAGACACCAAACACCTAATTTACAGGACGGTGCTCTGCATTATATAACCTCTGGTCAGAGGTAAGACTGTAAAAGTACCCTTACAATGTACATTTTTCCATATCTTCTGAATAATTGAATACTATTTTATTAAAAGCTTTTTACTTAGTTATATGACACTCAATGCATAGAGTTGTTGTAGTTCTTGTGTGAGCGTGGTTACCTCCATGGAGAGAGTTTGCAGATGGTAGACTGACTGCAGACCTTGTGAGGTGAAGTATTCAATGAAGTTCTGACAGCCCAGACTGGTGAGAAAACTGTATGGGGAGAAAAGCAGGGCTGCTTAGAGCACAGCTACAGAGCCAGAAATTGGGCTGAAATAATCAAACATCATAAAAAATCACAGCCATTAACACTTATGAAAAGTTCTATTGTTTTCAGCCAATTCAATAAGATCAAAACTTGATAGTTACAGTCATTCTTTATTTTGACTGAATCACACTGTATTTCTTTACTATTACAAATGTATCCAGGAAATGAGTGCACAGTGTTCGAACAAAGATATTTACATATTCAATGGAAGCATAACCATAAGCATGCATTTATATTAATGATTCATGGGGCCAATCTTGTTTTGGTAAAAAAAAACTTTATTATAAATACACGAAATGTTAAACCTTTTTAAACATACAAAGTAATTGAAAAAAAGAGTTTAACTGTACAATGTGGCTGTTCAAAGAACACAACATTCGAGTAAACAAAAAGGACTGACAAAGTCTGCTGTATCAAAAATGTCAAATATACATTGACACATGTTAAAATATATAGCGATTATGGATTAAAAAGAAAATAAGAAAGCAGCTTTAAATTAAAATTTGACTTAAACATCTCTTTAAAAATGCTGTAGTGCATTGCAAAGGGCTGCTGTATACAGTGACAGTGTGAAGGATTTTAGATCTAAGTATGTGACAAACAGTTTGGGCTTTTCAAGCTGGTAAAATTCAGTCCTGTAAACATAATGAAGGTCCATGTCTCTTGAGCAGCATGGGTGTATTATGAAAGTAAAAAAAACATAGTGTTTTGTTTCTTTCTTTTGTGTGAGCTGACATTATTTGAAAGGATGCACATGCTAAGTCTGACACGAGACTTTCATAAACTTAAATTCAATTTTATAAATATTGGATTGGTCAGTGTCAAGTCATCATAATGAAAACTACGACTTTGCATTAATGAATGACACTTATTGAGCTGAATTATAACAGATGGCATGTTCATAACAATGCTATGTCAGTCTTATGCACGTCCCTTCAAATTTAGTGTAACCATCATCAACACATCAGATTTCGATACTCTCTATGGATTAAGTGGATAGGTTTTTAAAGAGAACACCAGTTACTTCTCTCCTGTTGGCCAACATAAACTAATTAAAGAGGAAAGTTTTTATACAGTGGCCAAATTAGGAGATCAAACAAATCAATACACATTTTAAACTTTCTTTGACTAAGCTCAGTCCTATAAGACAGCCTTTACCTCTACTTTCTTTTCCCTAGTTAAGTCATAATGCATTTACATATTGTCATGCTGTAGGTTTCTCAAGCCGACTTTCATTATGGCAACAGCTAAGGATGCGAAGAGATTTGTAAGATAACTGCAAGCCTTTACAAAGCAGTCACAGTCACATCAAACTGTCTGTATAAAACAGCTCCATTTAGACATATTTAGTGGCAAAAGAGGGAGCTGGGACATGGCCAAACACAGTAGCTGTTTCGGCATCAGCGAGCCGCCATCCCTTAATTAACCCGACAAGTGCATCTGATTGTCTGCTGACCTTTTACAGGAGAATAAAGGAGTGTCACTGCAGGGTGAGGTACCTGACAAGGCTGGGGTCAGGGTTATATGGAGGGGGTGGGCTGCAGTGGGAAGCAGACACTATATTCTGACTGCTGTGGCCACCGTTCATCTCACCGTTGGCCTGCAAGTGGTTGCTGCTGAGCATGTTTGGACCTGTGAGAAAACGACAGGAAACCAATCGAACAATGAACGCCAACACGTGCACCCATGCTTTTTTGGCGAACGTGTGTGTTGTCTGATCGGCATCAACAGCACACACACACACATCCAGCAGACACTCACCCATATGAGCAATAGAGGGGTTAGCATTTGGGTGTTGCTGCTGCTGCTGGCCCATCATCTGGTTGACAGAGGGGGGCTTATTGAGGCCTCCATGTGAATGCATCTTGTTCATGTTGGACAGTGGAGAGTACGGGGAGGGGGACGCTATGTGGCTCCTACGGAGACGAAAAGAACACGGCAAATGTCATGGGAAGGAGTTCATTTGATACTTCAAAAAACACTTTAGAGTTGGACAAATAGGTTGAAACTGAGGATTAAGGCTTAAAAAAACATACACATTTAATTTGATGTTGGAGTAAAAAGTCTTACAGAGTCCAAACATTTAGTCAATGCGCGTGCACGTGTGTGTGTGTTTGTGTGTGTGTGTGTATAAGCGTAACTCACGGTCTCTGCAGCAGCTGCTGCTGAGTTTGTTGTCTGTAGGACTCCACGAGTGGCTGTGGCACCAACTCCACCAGCTCCAAACTGTCCTTAATCTTCATCAGCAACTCAAAATTCTCCCGACCACGAACCTGCCCAGGAACACGGCACAAAAATTAACCGAGGCTGGCTAAAAAGCTAGAACACTTTGTTTGTTGCTAGTTTTTCCACTCACAGGACCTGAGACATATGATCAGATTAACAGACACAGATGAGAAAATAGCATTTGTTTTTTCCCTCCGGACAGCATACATTTAGTTGCTGGACTAAATCCTTTTACACTTTTCCTATTTTAAGCATTAGGACAAGTGTTCCACATGAACTCTTACAGGGATGTAGTAAACCTCCTCTTCTCCATGCCGCCTCTTCCTTATGTTAATATTTGGACTGGGAATATTAGGTGGACTCTGTTTAAAGTCTGCAGATGAGAAATAGAATTGTGATCAAGCAGTTTTTAAAAAGCACAAAAAAACCCTCAGTTATTTAGATCCCCAGCAAACCATCCCCCCTACTCATTCATACCAGCTGTAAAATGCCACTGGATCTCTTAACTTTTTGTGTTAGTATTTCATTAAACTCACTACGTTTGTTGGCACTGCCATTTTTGGCTACACTCTCGTTGAGGGCCTGTTGTTCCCTGAAGTGGTCCTCGTCGGCTTTGCGGTCTCTGCCTGGACATGCACAGATTCGGCCCTCAAATGATCTTCTGCCCAAGACTTGGCCACTGGAGAGATAATTTGGAATAGAAGTATATCATACAAGACTTGTTTGGAAGATTTTTAAGAAAAGAAATGGACTAATTCATATGCTATGTTTCTTTGCAGGTTCCTGGTCGGGAGAATTTTGAGTTGCTTTGGAGCTGGTTACATGTTCACATTACACCCCCTTCTTTTCAGAGCAGGTCAAGGCGGTGACTGTTAAAAGATGGTCATGGGAGGAATATATTCACACCAAAATTCCCTACTCAATTATGATTTTTATTTTGTACTGGTCTCTTTTTGAAATATTTGAAAAACTGTGAGAAAGCAGTTTGAGAAAAAAATACCTTTTAAAGAGCCTGATAATCTTTTGTTTATGTCAAAATAAGTTCTTGGTACAAATATGTTGTGTGTGCGACTTTGCACTTACTCTCTGGTTTCCAAAGTGATGATGATAAGAATGGGCCTCCTGTTCATGCCACCCACACAGCTGCTGTTGCACATGAAGTTGTAGAGGATGGTTGTGAACTCGGTCCCTACCTGAAACACAAAGACGCACAATACGTGAGCTTTTGTTGGATTTGTCTCCCCAATGCTCATCAAAGAATTTCAGCATTTTCATTGCTCCGGCAATTTCTTTCAAACACCAATTCACCACCAGAGGGAAGTGATACAACCCACTTTGATGTGAGAAGAGTCAATTATGGCTTTCATTGCCCTCCTCAGGTGCAATCACAGGCATGATGATCCGTGTGCCTGTTTGGACATGCCTGGCATCTTTACTTAGAGATTTGTCTACTTTGAGCTACTTTACAGAAAATGGCTGTTTCTTTGGGATGAACATGACTGTGGCTCTCCACCAAACCTATAGTATGTCTATAAATTTGTTTTAACAAAAAAATTAACCAGGATCTGCTGCTTTTTTATGTCCATTTGGGTAATAAAGTGCCTCATGTGTTTGTTTGATAATCAGATGATGAACCACCAACCTGTGGAGTCTCATAGGGCACGTAGACACTCTGCCTGCCTGTGACAGGATCGTCTACGTATTGTGAGAGGTTATTTCCCTCAACTCGGATCAAGTGACTGGCAGGTGCTGCTTGACCTAAGGAGAGAAAGATAAAAAAAAAAAAAATGAGTAGTAACAAAAGTAGTAACAAAAAAATCCAAACGCTAATAGAAAGACAAATACATTGGTACTTTTTATTTCTTCCTTGGTCTGGGTTAAGAGCATTATGACGTCTTGAGCCTACCATCGTTAAAGTCTCGTCCCAGTTCATGATTGGGGCATCTTTTGACCACTTCGGTGACATGCTCAGCCTTTTTGTAGACGGGCATGGCTCTGATGATGCTGCCATGTGGAGGAGAAGAGGACAGCTTGATCTGGATTGGGCAGGTTTTGGCAATCTGGCAGTAGAGCTTCTTCAGTAAGGGAGAGTACTAGGAGAAATGGAGCACACACAAAGCCTGTCAAAAAAGTATAAAGCTAAACAGAAAGGCTAGAAATGAGTGCTGTGCACTAAACATTCTCGAAACAGGTTAACAGCTCTGTCCTGGTATAATACAGAGCCTTTTCACTTTCTATCAATGTAAACTAAAGTTTACAAGACATGCATTATAACTCTTCAGAATCAATAAAATGTCGTAACATTGTAACCGTGAAGCTAGTTAAGATAAAGAATGGGATCCGTCTCACTTCTCACTTAATCTTTTTCCAATAATGTGAAAGGTAAAACATAATTTGAGAGAAGTTATATTTATCTTTATTTCATGCAAAAGCTCTGAAAAAGAAATGTTTATGTTTCATCATAAAGCTAAACAAATAAAACTTCATACAAAGTTGACCAGTGATGAGCCGGGCGATCAGCTGTTTACACATTTTTTCACTTTCACTCAGGAAATTGCAGTGTAAATTATATTTATCATCATCATTGTCAATTTAAAAGAGTAGGTGTCACCATGTATGTGGGAAAGGAAAGGATGTGTAAAACACAAGTACACGTGTTTCAGTTTTCATGCTGATTACCATGTTATTAGAATGGCTAGTATTGGTGGGTAGTACAGATGGTAGAAAAGAAAATGTTTTTCTTTATTTATATTTGCCACCTTTAAATAAAGAAACCTGGCCCAAAAAAATGTTGTAGTGAGTTATAGTTCAAATAAAGGGGATACGTAAGAGACTTGAAAATCACTCAGCCTTTAACTACAAGGCTGAATGAAAATCTGCTGAGCTGTGTTAAAGCCAAGCTTTCAGTAATTTCCCAGTTTGAAAGCATTTACACATGCACATGCTTGTAGATGTGTGTGTGTGTGTATGAGTATTAATGCCAGAATAAGATGCATTAAAAGGAGCAGCCTTAACGTGTCCCAACACAATCTATGACCTTCCAGGAAAAGCCAAGAAGTCTGTTCTGTCCTGTGTAGACCTGCTAGGATTTGCTCACCAAAAATGCAACACCACACCATATGGTAGAAATAATGTACATGTAGCTCAGAAGCTGCAATGAGGCATATAAAGAGTACTACTTTTACTATTTTTCTAATTCATAAATAGTGAAAGTAGAAATGTTGATAAAACAGTAAAGAGAAGTCAAGATTTTTCAAGAATCTGTGGATAAGCAGAATCCTATTTAAAGAATATTGACCATACTGTACTGTACATGCTGTTGTTTTGGGTTCTCTTTAAGTGGGCTGTATTAAACTATTTCTTTAGGTTATTTTACATCACAAAGACCAGTCTACTACACATGTTTTACATTTGAAAAGTTAATATTACTTTAATAATACCTTTCCGGAACAGTGGAATTTCCCTTTATCTTATTTTTCCTGAAACTTAGAAGCTGAAGCTGTTAATCTCTTCAGGGCACACCCCCCACTGGTAAAACACACCACAAAGGACCAAAAAGTGTTGGTTTGGAAATTAAAGAGACGCACATGCTTTGAAAACTCACTAACCTTTGTGTATAGTCTTATGATTTCTAATAAAATTTCCAATAATAGTCCAGACACTGATTTGTTTCTGGATTAATGGTGCCCAGGAAAGTCAGTGCTTTAACAACTAAGGGCTTCATTGTTCTAAAACAAACACTAATCCTCTAATAACCCCACATGCACACACACACGGAGCAAACTCCCATACTGTGCACACGTGCCCTTAGTCATTCCCTTAGGGCAATGGAAATACCTGTGTGCACCGTTATCTATTCCCACTTCACTCTCTCTAACAAGTCTCGACAGCCTGTCCATACCATGAATATATTATTTTCTCACAGCAGCCAGACTTATTTATTAACCCTGGGACTTTTCAGGTTGCAGAAATCCTATAAAGGTAACCGATCCACTGAGTCATAGTAACGACCCGGTCACAACATGACCACATTAGTGTTCTTCGGTACCATCTGACGGGAAAATATTGAGAATTTTGTTTAATGCTGTCATGACCATCACTGGAGTAACTGATAACCAGTTATGGGGGTGTTTTCACTGAGTGTGTCAACAAAGAGAAAACAATCCACAGACATTTTCTTTATGCTCTTTGGTCCTTTACTTCACTTCAATAATAACAGAGTTCCCCCAAGGGCACCAAAAATAAAAGGTGAGTAATAACCATTTATTGAATTGATTTTATATATAATTTTATATTTGAGTTATTGCACTTAAAACTGATTTGATGCTGTGTTATTTTATTCTTTTCAATGATATGACATTTTTTTCCTCTTAGAATCCACTGGCCCAGTTATGAGAATTACTTTATGAAAACAAAAATTTCCAAACATTAATAGATTTTGTGTTTTTAGATGTCAGGAGCCTGGTGTTCACCTGTAGCACGCACACACATGCTCTTACACTCTATGGATTCAGTCCATGTGTTGCGGTCAAAGGGGAAGCACTGATATAAGATCTGCGGTATCTGGCATGTATCTTCTCAGAAAGACAAGGGATTCTGGGTGATTAATGAGTTGGGCTGAGTGTCAGAAGAGAAAGAAGGCTAGGAACAAACAACCAGTTGGAAGAATCTTCAAGGAGACCAGCCAAAGAAAACTGAATTAGCAGTTGCCTCCCATCTCCTGGCCGCAAACCAGGGGTTTACCTCATTCTTACATTATACTTGTTAGGAAAGAGTTGTTTATGAGCAGCGAAAAGACTGAGAACTATATTAAACTGCACCGTGTTTGTGGTCATTGTCAACTACTGAATTGACAGACTAAACTATCACACATATTCTGGCAGACTAGGCTGTAATAAAACATATTTCTGTGATTAAACAGAACACACATAAATTTGTCCAAAATGGTTGTATGTGTTCCAAATTTCACAAAACAACACAATGCCTAAAATAGATATATGGCCACCTTTAAATCAATACTGCTGTTATATGCCTCTATCCATGCTCCTAGATGGAGGACCAGTGGAGGCAGGTTGGGACAGGCCCCTGCAGACAAAGTGATAATTGCCAGACCATCATCCATAAACACAAGCAGAGGCTTGCCTTTTGCAAATTCGGTTAACAGATATCAAATATGTTATTGCACATTTATACATACAAAGAGCTGACACACTGTGTGAAAGCTGCACTCATTTATGGGCTTTTCTCACACACATGCTATAATCATCCTGGATTTAAACCAGTACAGAAAACTGAGTAGCATCCCACAAACAACAGTTTATTCTACATATCCACACCAACTTTTAAAAAGTGTTTTTTTCAAATCTCACAGAATGTTCGTTTACTGCCAAATGACTATGAGTTGGCGTAGTGTATTTTTGAGCCCCTGGAGAGGCAAAATGAATGGAGATTGTAAAAGGTAATTCTGTTAGGCAGCATGAAATACATAGTGCTATAAAGTGTAACTTTCACTGATAAAACACACTTAAGAAATCTAAAACGTTTGAATAATCTAACTGTTGAATTCTTTTAGATGCCATCCGGTACAGGTTGGCTATTGGTGATGTGGCTGTGGATGATGCATTGCAAAAGGAAGGGGAGGATGCATTGTACAAGACGTGTTTGGACCTGCGTGCTAACGGGGAGACGCTAATGGCTGGGAAGAGCAGCTTCCCACAAGCCGCTGTGCTGTGCATGCTGGAGCCTGCAACCCCAGCGCATCACAACCCCCCCCCCCCCCCCAGTCTTCACACAGAAAAGCACACACACTCTCTCTCTGCCTCTCTCTCTCACACACACATACACACACACTGAGTCTGTGCGTATGAAAAGAGGTCTTATTATTTGACAGTGCTGAGGTGTTACTGTAGATCTCATTTCCAGCCAGGTGACGCTTGTCTACATCCAAGCCAAGACATCAATTTTAAGGGGCAAAAGAGAGTCTGAGTTTTAGAGTTATTATCACTAATGCATGGTGTGTTGATGAGACAGGGTGGGATTACCAACGTAGCTTAGGATGGGCTTGGATGGATTTACCATATGTTGAAACATTATGATGGATGAGAAAAAAAGGATTGTGTCTTCTGTTGCATTCTCTTTTTGAATAGTGAATCACAAATGTAACCTTTGATCATCCCTGCAGCTGAAACTTGAGAAAAGGGAATTTATTACTTAATACAACAGGTAGCTATCTGTATAATCTTCTAAAGCAAGGCAAAACAGCAGCTCAAAGTGGGAGGCATGGAGGTGGGAAGGGGGGCAGTTAGGAGGCTGATTATAGTCAATATACCCCTATGGCATTTGGCATTCCCCACTGCCTGAGGCTACAAGAAATAAGCAAGACAACCAGAGCCTGTCTCGTACTTTTAGACAAAGTGACTGAGTCTCACCCACGTTGTAGTCTTCATTTCTTATAAGCTTAGAACTGGGCCTTACTCAGAATTCTGCATGAATACACACTACCTACTACAACCAGCCTTTGCATAGTTCCAATTCTGGAAAGCCCCTTTCCATTATCAGAAACACATTAATTCACTAACCATCATCTATATTTAAAGAACCTCGAAATAGACTCCCTCCTCAGCCTGATTTAAGTCCACAGGAAGTTCTACCGTGAACTCCTGTGGAGTGGAAACACTCTGATTATCAAATGATTGTTAAAATAACCTATTTTTAAGAAAAAGACAGCTGATAAGAAGAGTCAAATTTGATTAAAAATATGTATTTCTGCAGCTATTTAACTGAGTAATTTCCATGTAATTCATCACAGTGATACTTCAAATGTTTCTGTCTCTTAATCCTGTTGATGAAGTGTGGCTGGGAGATCGATCCAAGAAAATGTAAGGAATAAAAAGGAGATGATAGACATTTTTCAGGAGATGTTGTGGAGAAGCTTTAGGCGCCAGAGGTGACAGCCATGAGTATGTGCTAAGACCAAGAGGAAGAAAAAGACAAGGGGAAGAAAAGCAACAGGTCAAAGACCACCACTCTAATGTCCGCGGGAGGATCTTTTTACATCACTGCGGCTGAGCAAAGGAGCCCACCACGCATGGTTACTTCAAGCAAACACAGCCTGTGAGGACCTTCGTCCTACACACCAACACACTCTCAGGGCTTAATGCACGCAGAAATACACACACACACACACACACACACACTGAAGAAGGGCAGTTTGTCTCTAGTTTCTCTTGTTTCAGAGAGGTCAACTGTGTGACGGTCGGAGGTGACACCTTTCAAACACAGACTTCTCATCAGGTCATGACAAATTGCTCGGCTCCCGTTTCACCTGTCTCTCACCACCGTCACTTCACATGATAGTTGTTCATGCTTCCTATGTTAATGTTAATGCTCAGGTCCTTCTAAGTTAAGCTACTTTTACAGCTGCGTTAGAATAGGACACGTGGACGGTGTGTCAAAATGCTCTGTGACTTTCGTTGAGGGGGTGGCAAAGTGAAACGTTGATGCCTTACAGGGTAAGTCATAATGCTTTTGTCATTTTCAGTATGCAACTCCTGCTAAGAAGAACTCAACACCCAAAAATTGTAAGCATGTGATTTTGCAGGTTAAAATTTAAGTAAACCGTAACAGAATGCAATGGCAATTTTTAATGTAAAGTTAGTTGAGGACTAACTGGTTAGGACAGAAAACTTGGCGATGGTTATGTAGTGCCATTCAAACCTTATAAGCAGATTTAAGGCTTATTATAGGTCAATTAGTCAAAACAGGACTATTTGACAAAACACAGTGTGCCTGTTATGCAATGGAAATTCTTTCCTGTTCAGTAGCACAAAATACCAGCAGGAAGTGTTTCTGTGGATTTGAATGAATGGATTAACTATTAATAGATTTTTTTTTACCCTGAAATTATATTACATCTTTTACACAGGTGTAAAACGTGACCCTCATCACAAAAATGTAAACACTTTTTTGCAATAATCTAAGAATACAACAACAGTTTTAGAGCTGTTCTAAACATTAGTTTTCTATAATACACTACTTGCATTGAGAAATAAAAGACATGCTGCCACAGTTTTTGGATTTGCATTTAATGCGGTTGGGATTAAGATAATTCATATTAATTTCTAAAATTCACATTGAATAATGTCCTTCTATATATGCTAGTTTTTCTTAAAAATTTCATACCAAACTTTGTTTTGATGTAAACTAATTATCTGAATGGCCAAACAGACACGGCGCAAATTTTCCCCAAAAAGTTGTCTTCAAAATACTTTCACATGGATACCTTCATTGTATGGATTTAAAAGGGGAGAGTCAAGGATGAGATTAATCACTGGATCATGATCTACTTTGGTTTGCGCTCTGCACGCCTGCACATGTGCTGGCTTGAACGAGTGTGTGTATAGCTGAGGGTCTTTGTGTGATCATTATTGTATGCACAAGTTAGACAGAAAGTGTGAACCCACTTTTAAGTACAGACACGGTTGCTACTCATCGAGGCCACAAAAGTGTGAGTACTCACGGTCCATGTGGCAGACTTGGCAGTGCTGGACTGCTGGAAGGACACCTGGAAGTTGTGTGGCCCGGGGTAGTCGGTGTTGGAGGGTATTGCCGGGGCGGGTGACAGGCCCTCAAAGGTGGAGTTGGGCTGGGAGTAAGGTGAGGGGGTGGGCACGGCCGATGAAGAGGCGTTTTCGGAGCTGTAGGGGCTGGCGGACGTCGCACGGCTCCCCAGGCTCTCCATGCTGCTGCTCAGCAAGTTGTACTGGGACTGGGGAGAAGAAGTGAAAGAAAATGAAGCAGGCAAAGAGGGAGGGAGCAGAAAGACAGAGGGAGGACACAGGTGGAGACAGTGGCTTGGAGGCTTAAGGAAGGTCGGATTACAATGGGAAGGGAGACTGGTGTGTGTTTAATTTGCGATGATGCATGTGTAACTTTCTGGCATAGCGTCCATGACCAGCGTTGAGGATGACAATCAGCTCAGGGATGTGAATGAGCAAAATAAAGTGTATGTTAGCTGCAGACCCACAGGAGTTTCCTTGGGGGTAAATGAGGTAACGTGTAAAACATGGACAAATGATGTGTTCTGCCTAATTGCCTGCCGTTCTCCAAGTTTCCTCTCCAGTCAGTTTGTGAATAGAGAACACTTGATCCACTGAACTGACACACGTGTCAGCAGTAATGCTTTCCGAAAGGCCCATAACCGGTTGCACACAAACTCAAAGGAGCCGTAGGAGAAAATGGTTATTTTTTAAATTTCCCATTTCACAATTCAAACAAAAGAAAAAAAATCTAATGACACCAAAGGCCACAAACACACAATGAATCCAAAACCACTCAATCCAATATGGCTACACATATCACAAATGCTAATAAAAAAACATGGGCATATAGACCATTATTTTAAAAGGTATTCAAAGATCAAGGTCTGCAGCATATGCTGTGCTCATGAGTCAAGAATTTGACACAGCTGGAAGTTTGAAGCATGAGCCACTGCATTGCAAACGCATAAAACAACCCGGCAAGCAACCAAAAAAGTCTTTACCTTCTTTTTCACGTAGTACATCCTCTAGTGCATCAGCTTAATTTGCCCAAGCGTCAGTTAGTCAAACGTCCGAACACAAGGGAGCATAGCCTAACCATGGAGTTCAAGCAAGGTGAGCATCAGCGGACACACAGTACCACACAGAACATGTGCTGCCAGGACAGGGAAAAAAAAGGTGAGGACTAGTGAGGAGAGAGAGAAGAGATAGACTGAGATCAGGGGAGAGGAACAGAGAAGGAAAGAGGGATGGGAACCCAGAAAATGGTACGGCATTCTAATTATGACATGCCCAGACATAGACGGCAATGCCGGGGCACATGAACACACACGCTCCAAAACACCTTGTGAAGGCCTACACTAAGTAAACACTGTCTAGTCTGACAGAGAGCGACAGATAGAAAGAGAGAAGAAGAAAGACAAGAAGCAAAACACATGAAAGAAAAAGAGTTCAAAGGTCGGCCCAACTGCCATGAACTATTGTATATCAATATATTAAATAAACACTGGGTGGCTCAATTTTTTGGGAAGCAGACTCTTGAAGACTTTGAAAATCTCAGAGTAGAAATCAGTGTAAATTATGTAAAATGCCTTTTATTAAACTATTAGCAACTATTTAAATGTTTTTCCTGAAACAGGAAAATAGCCCAAGCAACAATAAATGTTATTGTAAATTATTTTCCCTGATAAAGTATGTAATTCTAAGGTAATTAAGAAATTAATGGACACAAGGTATTTACAGTCTTTAAACATTTGGATTTGTGAAAATTTTGTCAGACAGCAATGATATAGTTTTTGAAACTCCCTTTTTAACTAAAAACAAAAACAATCTCAGTGAAAAGTAACTAAGTAGCGAAGGTTTTGTTAGGTTAAGGTTTTAGAGCTAGTTAGTTTGTAGAGTGAAACATAAACTTTCAAAACTGCAACTGTGATCAATCAGGCTCTTCAGGCTCACTAAGATTATGCTAGATCTGTCTGATAGATAACACATATCTGATGGCAAGCCTCTGGGCAAAAATTCCCACTTTATCGCCTTTAAGAAAATATTCTATAGGTCCAACTATTACAACCCATAAAAATTATATATATTAAAAGTTTAAAAAACATAGAGACATTTTTCAAGTTTTATTTTTGTTTTACAATAATTATAATCATCGTCTACTTTAAAACCAAGGAAACTTACTTTATAATATCAGTGGTCAGGACATGTGTGTACCCTTACGCCTAACCCTTATGACATCAAATTTTGTGGTCCATGTCACCGACAAAAGCGTGTTCATATGGGTTATTCACATGCCCCTACACACTAAAATCTATTATTATTATCATGTTAATGTAATAGATGTATAAAAATTAGTATAAATATGAATCTGTTGATTTAGATACTAATCAGTTTATATTCATAATTTTCCCTGAGGTAATTATGAATTATTGAAGGTATTATTGAATCTCTAACTCAGCGTTACACCATCACTTCCTGTTGTCAAACTCTGCTTTGTGTTTTTAAACTCAGATGCTGACAGCCGATACAGAGACTAAAACGAATTATGTCACAAGTTTAAATAAAAAGTTCACATCCATACATTGACCCCGGGGTGGGTATGTGTCTGCTGCACATCAGAGAGAGCTGGATTCAGAACAGTTAAAATGAACAGATTATCACCTCTTTACTCCTAAATGCTTACAACAATTCCCTCTAAATTGTGCATAACTGAGATTAAAATTAACCCACCCCAGTCAACATGTCACCCGATTTGATATTTTGATGTCCATCTAACATCCCATTGTTTACCACCTTTGAAGTCTTCCTCCACTATGTATTCTAAAAGGGGCTTTACAGGCACCAAACAAGTTCAGATGTGTGGGTCATTAACTAAAACGCTTCACACACTCACGCGCTCACAGGTGTGCTTGCTCTTAATACCTGTGCTCGATCCACAACAAGTCGAAACAGAGCTATAACGTTCCCTGCCGCTGAGAACATACACACGCGTGTGTCCGAATGTGTGTGTACATGTTTCCCATCCCAGCATTATCTCATGTCCCCTATGGGCTGTCATCCCAGTCGCTGCCACTCACAGCTGAGCTTAAAGGCTCATGTCATTTAGATGGGTGGATAAGCCCGCCACAGCAGACTTCGCTTGTCAAAATGAGTGAAACATGATAGGCTGAAGATGAGGAAGTATCACCCTCCTAATTGCCTTTTTTCATAGCCACTTATTACACCCACACCTGAAGTGATGTTTAACATCACGATCACTTTAAATCCAATTAATAACACGAATTCCCGTTTGTCATGTGGCTTTGGTGAGATACGGGAACATGCAGACCAAAATTCAGCTGGAAGGTATAAACAGACTGAGAGTGGAGCACATCTGAAGGATTCAAAGTCTGCTCGACAGAAGTGATGATGAGGGGAGATAAATGTGGAGTTTCATGCAGGAACATTGCCCCCTATTGAGAAAATATAGCAAAGCACAAGAAATAAGTACCAGTTACTTTAAGGCTTGATCAAATTTGAGTAAAAGGGAAAATCACATTATCCCTTAAAAACCTGATTGAAAAAAAAAGAAACAGGGTTTAAATAGGCCTGTACTTCATACGATTAGTCCATTCACATCAATACATACCGGTGCTTTCTTTCAGGTCAAAAGTGAAGAAACAGTGACCACAAAAACATGCAACATTCAGTCTTTTGAATAACAAGAAGGACTTTTTCTTCTTGAAATTCTACAACTTTTGAAAAAGTATGAAAACATGAGGCTGGGGCTACTTATCTATGTTGCTGCAAATATCCCATTTTAAACACTAAGATATAATTTGCAATTGGTCAAAACTTTGCCAGACTACAAACATCTCGTGTACACTTACCACATCACACAGCATCTTAAGGCTCCTGAAAAACAAGGCTCTCGGGTCTGTTTCGACTTTCAAGTGTAACTGAAACAGGAGGGCTTGGCATGGTCAGGTGACTCTTCTTTGGAGCAAGACATGATGGAGCAAGGTGAAAGCCTCCTGGTCTCCACTTGCTTCTCTTCCTTGACTGGGCCTCCTTACTTTCCTTGCATCTAACAACAAATGCTGGCTCCGCCCCCTTCCTTTTTTTTTATCATTATGCATTAACCAGCGGGGCAGGTCCAGGCTCGCCCATTACAGACTAGATCTGACCAATATTTGAGATAAGAAAGGGAAGGAAATAGGAGTTTGGGTGTTAGAGACTTCTAATGTTATATTTTAGAGGGAATAATGGATGCATCAAGGTGAGCGCATATAAAAAAAAAACGTTTTCTGTCTTTCTGAATGGGACATTTGGCAGGTGCAACCCGTGCACTCACCTGGAAACATATGTGCATGTTGGTTCACACGTACACACAACCAGGCACGCTCTAACCTACAGATGGCTCTAAATTGGAGCAGCAAGGGGTCTCGGCTTGGGATTTCATGAGCTCACGCCCAGCCCACGTATACACACACATACACACAACTCCCCCCACTGTCCCAAAAGGCCTCTCAGCAGAGGGACAGAGAGGGAAAAAGCAGCACAGGAGAGGGAAACTACTATTGTAAGGAGTCTGATCAGCACCACAGGGAAAAAGGCTAATAAAGGATACAACAGAAAATGTAAAAGAACAAAGGCATACAAAAAAACATGTATGAAATTGCAAAAGAAGATCTTTCCAAAACCTTAGGAAAAGTAAAGGAAATAAAGAACATATATAAACTCATACTCCTACCATTACATTGTCATTCATGTCTCTCATATGGTAGACGTCCATGGAGACCTCTGCAGAGTTGCGGTGATTCCCCGGGGTGCTGGTGGAGGGCATGGAGTGTTCACCTGGCTGGCTGTTCGGGGGGAGCTCAAAGTAGGTGCTGTCTGGCTCCCTGTGACCACAAAGATGAATGAATTTGATAGAAAAACATACTCACACCTCTCTAGAAGTTGTCATTATGAGAAGTCACAGGACACTCTCTAAATCTTTTTCAGTTTAAGAGTAAACCCAGTTTGCTTTAGAAACAGGTCATGAAACATCGATATGTATTTTACATTTGATGGTCATAAACCAACGAGGCAAGCAGCAAAGCAGAATGCGGAGTAAACGAATCAGCGGGTGTTGTTGACACTCACAAGGAGCTCCACAGGTGCTCAAAGGTTCCTCCTTCTTCAGCAACAGTGGACTGGGACATCTTAGAGGACGGGTAGTCCGAGGGGCAGATAACTCTGCAGAACACACACAGATATACACGCATGTACACACACTGCTTTTTTAAAATTGACTCAATAATAATGAAAAATGAACAATTAAGAATAAACCATTACAGATGAAGAACTGAGTATAAATGACATAATTACAGAGAGAAAATATGTTTAATGAGTAAACGTCCATATAAACAATAGCTTCATGATCATTTTAAATTGGAAGTCCCAAACACACACACACAAACCACACACTCCAATGTGTCATCACACTCATGTCCCAGCGAGGTGGCACAAGGTACCAGGGGGCCTGCGCGTGCCCGGACCTGCCTCAGTCATTGCCTTCTCAATCCGAGGGGAAGCTGCTCCTCAAAGCCTGATCGTCACATTATCCTCTAGGCTCTCAGTATAACTTGTCTTTCTCAAAGACATGCTCCCTTTCATCATCACATTACTGAAACGAACAGATAGATCAGGAGCTTTCAGAGATTTGGAGTAGAGGTTTACACTCCACCAGTTTCCTTAGACCGAATTGTTTAACTTTCTCTATGTATAAGCTGTAAAATCTAGGAAAGTACTCTGAATTGTAGTTGTCATTTGGAAGATATTGACATATAACTGCCATAAAAATCCGGGTCTGTAACATTTTTAAACAGAGTCTCGAACAGACAGCATTCCTACCGCGACAGTTGACAAAGGGACGTCTTGAGTTTCCATTTTAGCTCCACTTTGATGAGCTGGCTCTCACATCCAACGCAACATTCTGTCTGGTATAGCCTGTGTTCATTTGCGCAAAGGTTTATTAGTTCACATTCACAAGTGCGCACTTCAGCAAAGCGTCACATCTCCTTAGTAACTCCTCTCTGCAGGACTGCGCAAGGAAAACTGTGGCAAAGGTGCATGGCTCACAAGACGCACGTTGCAACAATTTTTTTTTTTTAATTTTACAAAATCTATTCTATTAATTTACGAAATGTTTTTTTTTTTTTTGTATGGTTACTGTAAGCTTATCGCTCCCCAACAGCGGTCTTTTCACTTTGGCCAGTACTAATCGATTGACGATACGTTCCCTGGTAAACATGTTAGGTGATGTCATGAGTGCTGAACAAGGGCTTTCCTTCTTCTCAACAATTGTTCCCGTTGCCGTTTATTTTTTTGCTTAACAAACGCTTACCCCATTCCGCATTAGACAAGGCTGAACAGCCAAGTTGATGGGCCCTGTAGCGCGCACAGCCAAAGCCCCGAAGTTCTCTCTTCAGCAGCTGTTTGGCTGCCGGTTCCCGCTGTTCTCCCACTATCTGGCGCCTCAGAGAGCAGCTCAGACCCCAGATCAGCCCCTGGGCTGGCCCAGAAGGAGCCACAGAGAAAACAAGCTGGCCTCAGAGCTCGTATTATCTGCATGCCAATATTTTACTGACAGACGTCGATTATTTCAGAGCGTTTAGTTTTTCTTCTGTGGGGATAGATGGTATTGACAAGCTGTTTTAAGCACGGGAGGGAAATGGTAATCCACGTGAAAACATTTGTGTGGGGGAATCTGTCATTCACAGTTGGTCATTAGAATGTGGCTAAACATGTTTTAGGAGCCAAAGTTTGCGTAAAATATTTAAATGCCATGATTTGGCTTGAGATATGATTTTGAAATAATAAACATAACACATAACTGTTCTATTCGAATTTCACACAATATACGAGCTTGATTTGTTTCTACAAAACACGGCCTCTGCTGGTTTCTTGCATAAATGCCACTCCATCCTTTCATATTTGACTTTGTGTCTGCAGTTCTCACCTGTCTCTATTTTGCGTTTCCACTCCCGGGTTACAGCACCCATGACAACACACATGCACGCACACTGCCTTCCCACGGGCCATTTTATGCACGACACACACTCCCAAATGAGAAGAAATTGATTTAAAAAATCTTTTCACTCCATCCTCCTTAGGCCTTAATGAAATATCTCATATGAGAATTGGAAAGGTTAGTGTTGATCAAACCTCTGGATCTGGCACAAGATCCCCAGACTACGAAACAATGGATAGAATGGATAGAAAAGGACAATATAAAATACTATTGTAAACCCAAATAAACTATTTTCCTATTGGCATTTTCAATATATAAACAGATTTTCGTTGTTTTCTTCTGACAGATATGTGGTTATACTTCAGAATTAGGAAAAATATGAAAGAAATATTCTTAACCATTTGTGCAAACGGTCAAAATTTGGGATATATTTACAATCAATCGTAGCTTGGATATTTTAACCTTTAGGCAAACAAATCAAAATAATAACGCTTATTTGTTTTGTTTTTTAAATAAACATTACATTACTTAAGTATTACCCCCCTTTAGACTGGAGTGGATTTCTTGGCAATGCCTCCTTTTAAAACAATTTATCAAAAAACGTTTTCTATAAGAAATTCTGAAAAAGTTGATGATTTAAAAACCCTCTTTGCCTCTGTTATTAAAGGCTGAATTTCTTTTCAATATATGACATATAATTTCACATAAATAGGCCTACCTGAAGGTTATTCTTATTCCAGTCCAAACACCCAGGAATAATGTTGCACCGAGCACCTGTCTGTTTGTCGAACATGCCAAGAAAGTGACCCTCCATAAAAGAATAGGAACATGGAGAGAAAAAAAACTTTAAACATCGAGCGAATTCGATAACAGTAGCTTGAGCTGATTGACTTTTCGGAGAAGCAATATTAACCGGAAACAGGAGGGGAACTGATTTGCATGCTCCTCAGAGAAGTGTGATGTTTGCCGAGGGAACCCGAGGAGGATGTGAAGCGTTTTGGTTTTTTTTATGCGCTAAGAGAAGCTGAGAGGCGGTAGCGCGGTTTGTCTGCACTCAAGCGGGAAACCTTTTCTGCTCAGAAAACTCATTAGATTATTTTGTGCTCAGACTACAAGACAAACTTGGGCAAATATGAAAAAACAAACAAACGAAGAACGAGAAAGGCTGTGACACGATCTAGGATAAAAATAAAGATTGCACAGATGATTTAAGATATGAAATTAGGTTATGAGATAGTAACTATTGGCCTAGAATAAATCCCTAGTCGATACATAAGAAAAATGCAACACTTAAAACTAATAACTGTGTCAGATAAAAAAAAATAGTTGCCTTTGTATTTGTTTAACTGGAAACACGTACAGTTGGACTAAGGGAAAAACTACATTTCCCATAAGTCAGTCCGCCACAGGTTGACGCTGATTGGACAGGGTCAGTGCGTCTTTATCTTCATACAAACAACCGAGCAACAGTTAGGTCGAGAGTGTGTGACTTTAAGGTATCATTATGAGGAAATAACTTTTCAGAATAATATATCGCGTTAATTTTTATCAAGAAAAGCAAGAGAGTTAGTTTAAGGGGGAATTTTGGCGAAAACTGAAGAGTTTGAGGGGTATCTAAGATTACGTTTTGGCGCTACATGCTAGCGGTCAGTCATAGCTAGTATAGCAGGTAAGTTCGGTTCGTATGCGGTGCTAGACTCCCCTTTTCAGTGGTTAATTATTTGGTCAGTAAGAAGCGAAGCTATTAATGGACAAATGGAAGAGATATTTAAACGGGATTTGTTTTATGTTGTTACTGTGGCTTCTAGCCAAGCTAACTTAACTTATTTTACCTTCAGCTTTTTATAATTGGGGAGGCTGGTTCCAGAATGAGTCCGTGTTGTAATACAGGGTTCTTTGAAGTTAATGTATTTACTATCGACATAACACTTCACGGTGTGCGTTTCTGTATTCAAAAACTGTTCAAAAACATAATATTTTTCCTTGACTTATGACCCCATCTTGCGTTCGTACTTGGAAACTACAGCTGTGAATGTACCCAGTTGGGTTTGTGGAAAACCTGTTTGGCTGTTTTAAGAACTTCACGTTTTTTCCTGTACAGTTAGGATGAATTTTTCTGAGGTCTTTAAGCAGTCCAACCAACTCTGCAAAGTCTCCCCCGACGGAAAGTACTTTGTAAGTTATGTGGTTTTCAGTTGGAAGATGACCTCTGTGAAATGGACCAGAAACATTACTAATTTTGTTTTCCTTTGCGTGTACTACTCAGGCAACCTGTGTGCAGTACCGACTGGTGGTGCGAGATGTGAGCTCCTTACAAATCTTGCAGCTCTACACTTGCCTGGATCAAATATCCCACATGGAGTGGTCCTCTGACTCCCTCTTTATTCTTTGTGCAATGTACAAGAGAGGGCTGGTACAGGTTGGGTCATTTAATATTTTGTTAATGCATGTCATTTTGTAAATACTGCTAAAATTTCCTTTAACCTTTCAGTTGTTTAAACTTTGTTACTCTGAATGTGAATTTCCTGTTATCATGGTATTATTTAAACACATTGTATTCTCCAAATTGGGCCCCATTGCTATTTCAAAGGAAAATCAACACATTTGCTGTTATGTAAGCTCTTAGAATTTGATTACTAAATGAATCCGTTAGCAGAATATATATGGCATGCCATATAAGAACTGTAATCAAATTATTTTGGCTTAAGATACACAGCATCCTTTTTATTTATTCAATTTGAAATGGTTTTAAAATTAACTTGGAAGATGATTTATATCTTTTTCTAAAACTATGATCTAATGACCAGGCAGAGATTCAGAAGTTCATTGTTTGGTCCTAACAGGATTTCAGTTTTTGTAGTTAGTTTCATGCTCATCATGGTGCAGATACCTTACCTCTGCATTGGTATCCAGTGCCAGTCTTTCATGGTTCCTTATTCTTGTCTTGCTTGATGTTATAAATCAAATCAAAGGAGATTATGGATGTGTGTGACGGATGTCATAAGTGATGGCTGATCGTTGTCACTCTCTGGCCTGTCCCCGTCTCTTTCTTCAGGTATGGTCTCTGGAACAGCCGGACTGGCACTGTAAGATTGATGAAGGCTCAATAGGACTGGTCTCCTCACGCTGGAGTCCAGACGGACGTCACATTCTCAACACCACTGAGTTCCACGTAAGTGCGAAGTTGGTTTGTGCATGTGTGCATGCATTCATGCACATAGAAGTGTTTTTATACATAAGCTTGTCTGGTTTCAACTGTTGCTGGCCCGTAAGGAAGGGGAACCTGAAAATAGCCAGACACCAGAGCCCTTCTTGACTGCCTCCACGGCCCCCCACCTGCTGCATGTATTCCGCCTGATTTCATTCCTCCCCTCCTGTTAGCGTCCTGTCATACATGGGTCTCAAGTACCTCTTAGGCATGGGTGCAATGTGTATTTGCCATGTCGATGTAGGGCTGTTATTTTACTGGGCCTGTTTAATGATGTTATCTTTCCAGTAAAAATAGAACAATAGTGAACTTAACAGGTGTGGAGGAAATATTAAAATAATCTTGAAATGAAAGATATAATGCAATCATCAAGTAACAAGTAATAAATCTATGACATAAACCTTTTTTTCCTCTAAATGATTTCATTACACTAGTATACCTTCTAAGTAAAGGAATAAATCTACCTTTTACAGAAATAAATGCTTCTTTCCTTCTTTAAAGCGTAATGCAGTTAAAGCGCAGTGTTATAAACTAAATTTTACCATGAAAGCATGCAAAAGAAGAAAAGAAGTATATCGTCCAGATGTTTCCTTAGTTGGAACTATGACTATGGTTTATTGTAGCCAATTAGTAAGAATCTGAGGATAATGAAGGGAATTTTAACTTGACCTTTCTATCATGTAACATCATATCATTCATCACGTCGCGTAGTCCTGAAAAAATAACAAATAAAATGATTCTTACTGCGAGAGCTTTATTTGATAAAAATACCTAATAATCTATTTTAAAAAACTATTTTAACGTACCTTTGTTTTCATGTTGTATTCATGTTGGCTGCTAAAACTCAGCCATGTTTCAGAAACAAAGCTTCATCCGGGAGTCAAGGGCTTTGAGCTGATAAAGCTTTTAGAATCCCCCCCCCTTTAAAAAAAAATCCCATTTCAGATTTTATTCTTTTCTTCCCAAGAGCTCCTCAAACAACAAATCCATGCATGATCCAAGCAGCACTCTCTGGCAAATGACATTTTTTGGTTAATTTTACTGTTTGAAAGCTTTTTATTTGAGCAAATTATTTCGAACATATCTTGATATATGTTTGTAAATAAAGAAACAGCATTGGTATGTATGAGTTTTGTGAGTCAATAATTTAAAACAAATTGTATATTTACACAGAATACTGAAGAACCTGAGTCAAACAGAGACATGGGCCGTATGAACGGCATCAGCCGAGAAGTGCAGTGTAATTTTGATTTGTATTATTTGTCTGCTTTGACCTCCTTCTCTAAATACTTAAAACTGGCTCAATGCAAAAGCATATTTGTCTCTGACCCAGGAGGTATAAGTTTGTCTTTAGGCCTTAGGATGGTGGAAAATGTTATCAACATTTTTACAAGAAAGTTATTGCCAGTTGTGGTTAAAGACGTCATCTTCTGTGCCTCCTGATTTTTGTTTTATATTCACTCCATGTGCATGACATGTAAGAGATGAGAAGACATAGCAGCTACCCTCAGGCCCTGTTTATGAGCGAGCGTATGACTGAGACACCTTGGTAGGCCTCGTCTGTCACGCCGAACCTGACTCCCGGACTCAGTTGACAGGTGCTGTGGTCCAACAGCTAACTGTGTCTGGTCTGGAGAAGGGAGCAGGGAGTTCAAACGTCTGGGCCACGGCTGCTTTGTGTCTAGCATCTTCCAAGAAAGGAAAGGGCGAAGAATTGGCTGGAAAATTGCCCTTTCCTTCAAAGAGACGGCATCTACATGGCGGGGAAGCGCAGACTTTAGACAGTCCCAGTGTGGATTTTCTTGCACCCGTGGTATGTTTGAAGATATGCGCGACTGGCGAGCACAGCCATCTCCTCACTCCATAACCTCTGTGACCTTTTCACTGCCATCACCGTTTGCTCAGACAAGTTAATCTAGAAAAAAATCCCATTATTGTTCCAAGCTATTTAACAGTGATGTTTTCAACAACCATTATCTTCCCACCTCTCATTTGCTCTTTTTTTCTTTTGATTTAAAGAGTTGTCAGGTTGGATAGGTGTTTTGTTTTGTGGCTGTGCTGCTTGTTTTGATATGAATATATTAATATTACTTTAATGAGAAAAATGCATGAATTATATTAGAATAAGTAGAATTTCCATTTCATTCTTTTGTTTTATTATTTCATTCTGCCCCTGTCTTCTTTAAACTCGATGTTAGCTCTTTGAAATGCTGCTGGGCTCCACATTTCGTGCTCAGTGGCAGACACAAGGTGTAGTCAGATGTGATTGGTGTCTCGCAGGACGACAAACCCTGCGGTTGTTGCGTACAAAATCATCCTGATAAGGAAAACAAAAAAAGGCACTTGTTAGAACTTTGCCAAGGAGTCCGCTGAACTTGCCTTCACCCCAGCCCAAGATTTCATTAAGGCAGAGCCAGGCGGGTGTTCGTGTCAAGCTTAAGTTTCAGCCTCACTCATAAACAGCCTGCTATATTAACTTGTTTAGGGACAGCTGCCTGTGGTGTGGATCATGCCTCTGTGTAAGTGTTTGTATGTCTGTCCTTGTGCCAGGAAATGTGCTTAGCTGGCTGTGTAGGTGTCTAGCTGCCTTTGTTTCTAACTTTTAAGACTCTAACCCAGAACATCCCTTTCTGAACAATAATCTGTCACCTCACAACTGAGGTGTTAACTGAGGTCTTCGGGGTAGCTCCTGAACACACTCCTGAGGGAGAGCTGTCACTCCGCCCTGCTTGAAAGGCTCTGAAATGTTGTTCCTTCAAGGCCTTCGGGGAGCATTGGTTTTAAGCGACTGCGTTTTTGCAGAAGCTCTAAAACAGCTGCTAAATCACAGGACGGCGCCATATGATAGATTTAATAGAAAGTCACATTGCGCAAACTGAGCCTATGTATAGTGAGACTTTACACAAGTTATGCCCCATCCAAATTCCGATCATTTATTTGAAGACTTCAGAAAATGCCACTGGCACATCCATGTTAATCCTTTACCAACTGAGTGGTGATAAACCGGGGGCGGAAAAACTCCAGCCAAGGACGTTGCTGAGGTTGTCTTCTTTAATGGTTTTCACATGGTCGGTATCAGATTAGCAGTAGCTTTCTTGGCTGGTCCAGTCGAAGCTTTGCAAACGAGCAGCATTGTTGGCAATATTGCTACTGTAAACTGGAAGCGTGAGCAGCTGATGCACTGCTACATGGGACAAAAGCCCCCGCATAGCCTTTGTGGGCTGCGAGAGGCTTCAGTTCCTTGGCAGAATCATGAGACTGTAACAGGAGAATTGGGCTATATCGGTTTGAGATGGCTCCCTATGTGGAATGCCAACAGTCTAATCCTCTGCTGACAGATCGGCCTACGCAGCATCAAGTGCACTTGTCCATTCTCTCACATTTGGAAAGGTTTGCAATAAAACCGGCAGATGGATATATTTTATTTCCAGGTTTCTGTCAGTAACTGTAGTCTACAGCTTATTACCGCACGTCATGTTATTCACAAATTGTGGAAATGAAAACTTGTTAATCGATGCTAAACGGATCTCATTATAGAAATTAATACCAGTTGTTTTTGGCTTCATCTTAAAATGATCTTGTTAGCATACAGAAAGTGGATGATGGGGATATTGGAATAGACCTGCACCCTCTGTGGATCTGTCTGCACAGCACCTAGGTCACTCCATCCATGTGTGGTGGGTTCAAAGCATCTACAAAGTTGAACCATGTTGGTGTTTGAGCCATGTTGTCGCTGGTTGTCATGGCACCTTGTCAGAGGGGAAGTCCAGAAAGTGTGCAGTGAAGTGTTATTACAGGGTCTACACAGCTGGGTGTCCTGACCCAACGGAAAAGGCGGTGCTACAGCCCTGTTAGGTGACAGACTTCCCCCAGTTCAAATGTCTGTCTGGATGCTTTGATGAAAGCCTACTCACTTTTTTTTATTATTGTAATCTTAGTATCTAGCACTGTGAGTTTTTTCCCGCTCATTTTCCCATTTCAGTTCTCACATAAATGCACAAGTTGTAAGTTGTAAATGTAATTCTTTTTCTTTTTCTCCTCCCTTTAATTAGTTTCTCTTGGCTTAGCTGTCATTTTGTTTCTGTAAAAAAGTAGAAACTATTCGTTTCTACTGTCTGATTGATGGAGCTCTGTGAATACGAAACAAAAAAAGCAGTTTGGTTGTAAAAAAAACAACAACCATCGTCTTATTTTCTATCTCGTTTTACAGCTCTTGTTGTTTCTCTGTTGTCAGTCTGAAGGTCAGTTGGAACTAAACTGGTTTTCAGGAAAAGATCCCCTTGATTGAGCTGGTTGTTCAGTACCAAACTTTTTTTCTCTTACTAGAGTCTTGCTGGTGTGAGGCTGGTGGGTGGTATTTGAGCGACCGCTGTCAAAGGAGAGCATTTACACGTGGTTTCTTTGTTATGCCAACTTGTGGTCGTACAGTTATTCGTGCACAACTTGCTAATGTTGCGTTAATTACATAACATAAAAACAAGGCTAACATTACATCTTGGCTACAAAACCGACTTATCCTTTTTTACTAGCATATTGGGATGACCTTTTTAAGTCCCCGTCATTTAACACAACCCTGAAACATATGTGGTTATTTTTCTGTGACTGTGATAGGATTATTAAACTCTTTACACATTTAGCCACAACAGGATTATAAGATTGGGGGTAGTGTCTCATATGCCTCTATTTACCTAAACACGGCATATAGTTCCCATCACTGAGTGCTTGTATTAGTTGGAGTTTTCTGAGGAGTGGCATGTCTGGTATAAGGTTCTTTTTTTATTAATTTAATTGTTTGACTAAATTTAACTTTTTTTTTTACTCCCCTGTTGTTTTGACAGCTGAGAGTTACAGTCTGGTCTCTGTGCACCAAAGCCGTGTCTTACATCAAGTATCCCAAAGCATGTCAGAAGGGTGAGTATGAGAGCGATGTTATGAGTGCATACAGTATGTACTACCAGAGTACCTGAGGACATGGTCAGCTGAGTGCCTTGGCATGCCCCATCAATCACAAGCTGTTCTCCTACTTTGTGGCACAACCCAGAATATGTCGCCAAACTATGGTGCTCTCTGCTGACAGCTGTACCCCTCTTCAGTAAATGGGGCATGCTCTTCATAACAGGCCTGTCAGCAAGTTTTGGAAATATGATTGTCTCTGACTCTCCCCATTTTCCACATGTAATGCTATGCCCTTCTGCAATCCACGTATCTCCAGAGCTGTCATATAAATAATACAGCCATGAGAGCTGCATGCTGCAGACTTAATGGTGCCAAAAAATCTGATAATTACATTGGGTGGAATACACAGGGCTTTATGAGGTTATGGATTCAGTTATCGGAACAGATAATTGACTGACCTCGTTTTATTTTTAGAAACCGTGGTAAAAAATAGGGACAATTTTCATTCAGTCTTTGTTTCCTTGGGAAATTAGATTTTTGAGCATTTATATAATGAAAACTTATAATATGACCTAGTTGGCCTTTCAAGAACTTATTGTTACATTGAGCACTTAAAGGAACCTGAACTCCGAAAAAACAACAGTTTTTTAAGTTTAATATAGCTGTTACATTGACAATGTCAATGAAAACTATTTACTGTACTGAAAGTCTTTCAGATGGGGTCAGATATTCTAATTAGATAATGTGACGAGGTTCAAGGCACCATGCTGGCTGTGTCTCGCAATACATTTTTGAACCATAACAGCAATCCATAATAATTTTATTACCAACTGTGACAGTTCCTCTGTATTGTTTCCACCTTGTGACCCGTGGATTCCACCAGGGGTAAATGTGTCTGGATTTGCTTGTGATATGTCTGCTGGAACCAATCCAGGCCTCTCCAAACAATGCTTGCGATACCATTGGATGCACTGCAATGTCACATCGAGCAGATGAACCAGGCAGGAAGTCAGACACACGAACAGGGCAGCTTGACCCCTTTCCAACATGAAACCCCCTGCATACAAAAGGCCAGAGCTTTTTAGACATATTTGGGAAAACAAGTAGCAGTTTCTGTATGCCGGTGTTTAGATGTCGGTGTCCCTAACCAGAGAATTGTTGTTGCTTGTGTCATATCCTCCCAAGAAGAGAGTTAATCAAGATTATTTATCACAAACCACAGAAGCCACATAATCGCTGGGTTTTGAATGAGCTGCAGTGAACAGTGTTTTTTTTTCTTCTCTGCATAAGTGCGGTGTTGTCGTCCACACAGGTATTGACTTCAGTAGAGACGGAAGCTACATGGCTTTGGCTGAACGCCGGGACTGCAAAGACTACGTCAGTATATTCGTTTGTGACGACTGGCACTTACTCAGGGTAAGTAAGGCTCTTGCAGTTCTTCATATTCAGCTATGGTTTTAATATAAATTCATTGGAAAAAAGGAAATTAACAATGGAGGAAGCTTTGATTTTTTTTTAATGACAGTATAAAGCCCACTCACTGCCTGAACCCTCACAAACTGTAAGACGTAGCTGTTTCCTTACTGACATGTGTGTGAGGAGTCATGGTGTTGGGCATGACGGTGTGTGCTCACACTCAGATGTGTACTTTAAAAAAAAAAGTTAAATCCTGTTTAACTCTTCCACAGCATTTTGAAACCGAGACACAAGACCTGGCTGGTTTGGAGTGGTCTCCTAACGGCTGTGTGCTGGCAGTGTGGGACAGCTGTCTGGAGGTTAGCTGGTTCATTTGCAAACTCATTAAAGATTTTTTTTAAAACTACAGAATATTTATCACAGAATTTAGATTATTAGGAGGCTTGGGGAACTGCATCCCAGTGTCAGGATGCCGTTGTGCAGCCCGGACTTTCTCTGCAGCTGCTGTTCACACGTCTGCCAGAGCTTTAGAATGTGTGCTGGAAATACTGCAAAGTGGCTGTGGCAGATTACACAGGAGGCATTACACGATGCAGAAAGTATGCTGTGGAAATCAGTGTTTTATTTATAGCTAACAACCGACCACTCATTGACTATTTTGGTGTCATTATCAATAGTGTGTTTGGAATTATCTGCAATATCAGCTGGCAATAGTACAACTTCCTCTGGGTTTCATGGTAACATCGCAGTTTTCCATGTGTATACTTCCACAGTACAAGGTGTTACTGTACTCTTTAGATGGCCGGTTGCTGTCAACTTACAGTGCTTATGAGTGGTCGCTGGGAGTCAAATCAGTGTCCTGGAGCCCCAGCAGCCAGTTCCTGGCCATCGGCAGCTATGATGAAAAAGTATGAACACCAGCTAAAAACCAATATGTCCATGGCTTAGTGTCATAGAATCTATTCCTTATAGTTATCAACATTGATATAATAAATTTGACTCTCCCCCATGTCAGGTGCGTATCCTAAATCATATCACGTGGAAGAAAATATCCCAATTTGAGCACCCTGCAACCATTGAAAACACAAAAGCTGTGAGTTGTGCACTCGTTTACAAAAATTCAGCCTCAAAGCATCATGTTTGCATGATAAAAAGCTCTGTTACTGCTCATTGTGTTACAGACTGTGTACAAAGAAGTGGAAAAAAGGTCAGCCGTGGCCAGTGATGAGCTTTCACTACACAACATCACAGCGGGCCCCTCCCTCTTCAACACCCAGAGTAAATGTATGGAAGCAGTTTATTTTTACAAAGCAGTGTTTGACGAAAATGCCTCGGTGGAAGTGCAAGTTTTTTAAACTGTTTTTCATCAGTCTCTAAATTGTTGCTGCCTCCTACAGATGAGATCTGCCCATTACCCTTTCAAATTCCTGTGGTCAAGCCAGACCCGGACCGGGCAAACCCCAAGATCGGTGTCTCTGTTTTGGCCTTCAGCTCAGACAGTCGGTATCTTGCCACCAAAAACGGTAAGGTGCTTTTAAAAGGATTACCCCTGTCAAGCTTTTTATTCTTATGTATTATTTAGTTTTTTTTAAATTAGCTTCTTCTGTTTAAAACCTATGTCGAGTGGCTATAATATGTGTGCGCATTTCTGCCAACGCAGACAACATGGCCACCGCCCTGTGGGTGTGGGACCTGCAGAAGAGCAGCCTGGAGGCCGTGCTGGAGCACATGTCGGCCGTGCGCTGCTTTCAGTGGGACCCTCGGCGGCCCCGGCTGGCTCTGTGCACCGGCAACAGCAAACTCTACCTCTGGTCCCCGGGAGGCTGCGTTTCTGTTCAGGTCCCCGTTGAAGGTAAACACCTCAAACGCTGTGAATCGTCAAAGTAGATTCAAGAAGCTTTATTTATGCAGAGGTAAATGGCTGTGCGGCAGTTACAATACAGAAGTGGGAAAGTCATGAAGTGTGACTCGTGGAGATTAAACACTTTGAAGCTAAGTGCAGATGGTTGGCTCCAAATGAATGCGCAGCACATTTGAATCCCGTCATTAGAATCCACAATGACAGTTCCCCCTCTCATGTTTATACGTAAATATATCAGCATAATTGATATACCCCCCCCCCCTTTTTTTTTCTTCTGCCAGGTGCTTTTCAAGTCCAGTCCTTAACCTGGCACTGCAGTGGAGAGTCTCTCATCCTGCTCGGTAAGGAGCAGCTTTGTTTGTGCTACATGGACACTGAGCAGGAAGACCAATAAAAGGCCCCTAAAAAAAGAAGACCAATAGGAACACTCATAGAAATCTCTTATGCTGGATTGTAAATTGCCAATGAATTTACAGTAACCCCAGTGCAGGTTACTGGATGTTTTTATTTTTTTTGGTCTAGATTTAAGCCGGCACCACATCATATGTCCTGACTATGTAAATAGGTACTGAGGCACTAATGATACTGTGACAATGTTTTATAGATATTTCCTTTGTTGAACTGTTTTGTAGGCATTTTTCTATTTATTCAGAATAAACTTTTTCAAAAGTAGTGCTGTAAGTGTGTAAACTTTCCACTCAGTCAAAAAAAGAAAATGACAAGTAAATCATTTTCTATTAAGTATTTATGAGTTCATCAAAACGGGTGCAGAGTAAACAGTCACTTTTAGAAATGTATTTCATTCATTTGAGAATTTAAAAAAACAACCAGAAAACAACAAATTTCTTTCATGCAAACTCAACATGCAGAGAACATGCACGAGTAAGAGCAGAAAAAGTTGTGGGACACATGACAACATGGTCTGTAACCTTTGGTTGGACAGAAATGTACGGTAACAAGGGGGGTCTAAGCTGGGAAAGAAATCGCCTACATCCTACTCTTAACACACACGATGTGGTTAACGATTCGATGGAAAGCATGTTTTTCGCACACGTAACCCATCTAATGTTCCCTTTCTCCTGAGTGCAGCTGATGTCAAACGTCTGATAACATAAAGTTGCACAACTTAAAAATACATAATGTCCAGTCCCCTTTGACTAAATCACATACCAGAGTATGTGTTATTGTAACCAGTGCAGTTCTTCAAGCTCCCCGCTGTGTTGAAATTAAATATAAAAAGAAAGGGGTTAAACATTCCCACTTAACAAATTTCACTGATGCTGAGCATCTTCCATCCATTAGCTTAAATATTGAGTTGTTTATTACAAACGGCTCAGTCCGTTGGCTGCTGTACCAAGTCGCTCTGTGATGTAAATAATGCAGTCATTCATTTCAAACAATGTCACAGAAGTCTGGAATCCAGTCCTGTGATGGTCTGGTTTCACAGCTGGCCTAACCACTGCCCTTTTCCTTCCTCTATCGCTAGAGAAAAGAATCCAAACTGAGCACGCGGTCTATCGTCTGGCTTCAGCTTTCTGCATTAAGATCTAAACCTCTCGTTACTTTCGACCTGCCCCAGAAACTGAGAGTCAGTTTTTTTCTTATCTCCAGCTAATCTTGCGTGGGCATATGCTGCTTAAGGCTTTAATGGAAAGCAACCTAGAGCGCTAACGCTAACAGAACAAGAAAAGAGTGGACGGTCGGTAGGCTGCTGCCCGTCAGCGGCCGGCTGCAGGCTGACCGCTTCTGCGGGCGCGTCATGGACTCGGCTTACACACACAGACAAAGCGGCACATTACACCGTGGCTTCCCTCAGGCAGTGTGGTGAGACAGACACATGGGCGGGAACCATCGAGAAGCTGGGATTTAGTAACCGATCTTGCCCCGCGTCATCGAGTAGCCCAGCTTGGCTTCGTTGTTGATGAAGGACATGATGCCCAGATAAGTCTCGATGAGCAGGGGCCTCTCCAGGATCAGCACGCCGTTGGCCCGACCGGGGATGGGGTTCTCCTTGTGGGCCTTCTTCACGGCCTGCACCAGCTGGGTACGGAAGTTGTCCATCTTGGGATGTAAGGAAAAACAGAGCATGAAACTGGAACAGTGTGTCAATGCAGCTTTTCCGACATGGAGGCTGCATCTCTGTAAAACGTCTACAACGAAGGCTCTTGATGCTGCTCTTGGAAGAGGAATAATGGATTCAATTGAGACTCAGCAGCCTAACAAGCCCCATTTAAGGCAAAACGGCCCCAGAGAGTTGCCCCAGTTGGTACTGTTCCATTGTCCATCAAATATAGATTTGAGAAAAACAACTTTCAGCCTAAATGCACAAATGGAAGACGTCTCAATAACCATGTTTGTTTCAGAGGACAAATGAGGCCACTGGCGGCAGTAATAAGCTCTTTGTTCCTGATGGCCTGAGGCTGCCTTCTATCCTACATATCAGGCCTCCGGTGCAAATCGTCCACCATGTTGTTTACTCCTAATTGCAAAGCGTTTGGAGTCAGGGGGGTTATACCTGGCAGAGAGAAGCCACCTTTTCGTCAGCGTGGGCCATGGGGTGCTCTGTGAAGGTGGCGTAGGGCATGTCCGTGGACCAGGGGTTCCAGCGGTTCAAGAAAGAAGCCCGGGGCCGCTTGTCCCACTGGACACGAATCCCATAGCCCTCTCTTCTACAAACAAAAGGGGGGGAGAAAAGGCCAAAACCAGCCATTTCCTATGAAAGAACACTTAGCACAAGTTCACCACAAAATGCGCCACTAAAAGCACACTAACACCATGATGGTTTCTTCAGCCTTTAAAAAAAAGAAACTAAACAGATTCCCATGCATTTCCTTAGTTCCTGACTATCCTGTATGTCAGTTTACAACACATTTTCATTAATGTAAATATAATTGTACATTATTATTGTTATATTAATATTGTCCACATTGATATTAGTATATATTTTTTTATTTTATATTATTATTACAATTTATTAATGTATTATTTATTATGATTTAAGCACAAAACAGACCTGAGTGGTTACAATTAAACATCAAAAGCTGAGCAGCAGTGCATATAAGACTCTCTCCAGGTTCTCCACTAAAAGGGTCAATTGTGGTTCTACCGACGGACACGTGTGTTGACATACTTATTGAGCGATTTGGGTGGAAACTCAAACTCCCCCACTGAGATGGTGTCCACCGCGTTGAGGGAGATCCTGACAACTTGCTGACACACCAGATTAAGGAAGTCATACTTGCAGACCAGCAGGGACCTGAATGAGGAGACGAAAATAAGGGAAAATAAGTGTGCTCCCTCTGTTAATGTAGTTAAATGATCAGATGGGTAACATTACTGCTAATTCACTTGTACTTGAAATACATTACATGGAAATATGGAGACAGCAGTTAAATTTTTTTATTTTAAGAAATGGCTTTTTTAGAAATCCTTAAACAAAATCAAACACAAAGTCCATGGAGCTCATGTGAAGCCTGAATCATTCTGTCCTGGGACCCAAAACAACACTGAATTGTCCATTAAACGCTGATCTTCTTAAGCCAGTTAACCATCTGTTTAATAACGAACAGGAAGAGCTGATGATACCTCAATTCTCGCATCAAATCGTCCTGAGTCATGCGTTAAATGAGGGTCGTCTACGTGTAACGAGTGTCTTTACTCACTTATCGGTTATGAGCACCAGCCTCTCCTTCTCGTTGTTCCAGTGATCGACTCTGTAGAGAGAGAGATGAGATGTTAAGCGTTCCCACGGCAACAGAGGAGAGGATGACACCCCGCCCCGGTGCTCGTGGCCTGGGCCTCTTCCTCCCTCGGGTTTGGGGGCTCAGATACTCACTCTGCCAGCAGCCACACGCTCAGCACCTCCCCGTCCTCGGAGGGGAGCGCCACGGTCCGGATGTCGCTCACCGCCTGCTCGATGGTACCTGGCTGGGATCAGCATCAGGGGGGGAGAGAGGGTGGGGGGAGAGGGGGGGTAGGCGTCACTGGGGGACGCACCGATCCCCAAAACCCCCCTAAAAACCGCGCGCAACTCACCCTGAACACGAAGTAGTCCTTCACTTTGGCCTGCACCGTGGGGTTGTGCACGTGGAAGGGCGCGAGCGTCTGCAGCGGGGGGCAGCAGGCCACGGCGGCCCCCGGCCCCAGGCTCCGGCCACCGGCCCCCGGCGGCGTGAAGGCCACCTCCAGCCCCTCCTCGCTGTGCGCCGGGTGGAGCACCGCGGCGCCGGGACTCTCCGGCTCTATGGTGTCGTTCAGCTGCAGCATGGCGGAATAAACAAAAAAAAAAAAAAACGACGTTCAAAGCGTGTTCGTGACGACGCGAGCCCGCTGTTAGGAGAGAATCCGCCTTCCCAGAGACGCGGACTCTCCCATTGCGCAGAAATAATGTTTTGCTTGTGGGGGTTAAAAGGAAGCAGTTCCTTTTTGCTTCACTTCCCCCCCCACTTCGGATTTCCTTCCTCTTAAAGAGACATTCGTCCTGCTAATGGCAGAAACAGGTGTCGAGCCCATATTTCTTATTTCGATTCATATTTAGCGACAGTCAAAGATGCGATTGGTGGCTTTAAATGGTTAGATCATGTCATCACCATGAATCAAGAGGCATGCTCTTTTCGTATCTTACAGTTATGACGTTTCCAAACGGGGTTCCTTGTTTTATTTCATGGCTTTACACCTAAAACCAACTTCCTAACACCTAGAAATGTAATTTCACACAAGGTGAAATAATATTTAATGAAATATGCAAAGGAAAGCCCCCACAGATGTATTCAGCTTGTTGTAGTACATGAAGAATTTTTCTCACTTCATTGTGTCATTCATCCAGCTTTATCAAGTTTTTGTCTTTGGATCATTACTTTTCACTTTGTGAATCAATTATGAATTCTGTCAACATTTTTATCTGAAATTTCCATTGCTGTCACGGGTATCTGTAATAAACTAAACACCGTTCTTGGCTTATCAGTGGAGCTGTTTTACGGCCTTCTGTTGCTGTGAGGAAAATATTACCCATAATACCCATCAGCAGTCTAAACATAGTTAAAAATCTACGTCAAGCCCAGGGAACAAGTTTTGATTTGATTCAGGCCAAAATGAGCTGTTATCAGCTGGACTGGAACTCTACACAACAGTCCCCTCTGGTGGAAATGGACAGCTCCAGCTTTAAGCGTGGAGCCTTTAAAACCGCCGGTTTTCAGATGTGTGAAGCTTTGGCCAAATCCCGTAGACCTGTTGCAGTTTCCTGTGAAACGGTTTTACGGTGTTGTGTTTTTTATTGGTCTATACATGTCCTCTCATCACGTGCGACTTATTGAGGAAGCAAAGAGAGAAAAAAACATCTCTATCTGGTTAGTC